TAAATTAATTTCAATTATAATACAGACTATAATCTAGGAAGAAATTACTTTATTCTCTCACTCTCTCTCCCTACCTTACAAGTCATATGTCCTCCCAATAAATTTGTAAGATTTTTTGACTAAGATATTAAAAAAAAAAGAAAACAGAAAAGAAACTAACACTTTCATCTCCCCTAGCAACACAGTTTTTTTCGAATAGTGACATAATTTAATAAAATTCTGAGATGAAGTAAAAAGAAAAAATAAAATGAGAGAAAAAAGGTTTTACAATTTTTTTGTTTAAGTTGTTTTTTTCTTTTGTAAAGAAAAATCTAATTAAAACACGAATTATTCAATATTCAATATATCAGTAGTATTTTACTACTTTTATTTTATTGTTAGTAAATATAAAATAATTAGTGATAAATAGTGAATGCTTTACAATAACAAAATTGTAGACATGGTCATATGATACAGTTTAATAAAAGTTTTTTAAACAATTGAATTTATTAGTTGATCTAAGCTAGACTATTAATGAAAACCTGGAAGCATTAGACACCCGTTTCGTCCCAGTATGGAACTCTTCAGCCGCGTAAATATCTACACCTGAGACCTGCAGTTTCGCGCGTAATCAGTTAATCTCTAGACTATTGAGCCTGCATCTATAAACGTAGAAGATTTGTAGCTTAGGTGGATGATGACTTCTACCTAAAGTTTGTAGTGATGATATTGTTTAGAAGAACGATGAAAGCTCCATAACTAAACCATTCAGCTTAGAGAAGAAAAAAACTCTATCAAAAAGGTGTTAATGTTTAATTTTAATCGATTAATGATCTTACGAAAGATTTCACTCATTGTCGAAAGTGGATAATTGTATCCACCTGACATGGATTGTACTTCAATGGTCATGACTTCTTACTAGAACTTTAGACGATCCACTAATTACTACTGAGTAAATGATTATTAGTATAGGGATTTGTGGAGATGAATTCAACTCAAATTCAAATGTTAAAGTATTACAATCTCCAATAATCTTTACACATATGAAATTTTTGTTAGTTAAAAGCGTTCATATATTTTCTTATTTAAAGATTACATTCAAATTATTCTACAAAATAAAGAAACCATTTGTTCTCTACTTATAGTAATAAACGTTTGTTTTTGTAAGCAGTGATGGATAGTGGCTAGCAGTGGAATCCAGGACGCGTGTTTCGTCCTACTTGGGACTCGTCAGCTGGATGTACCTCAATTTAAATTCACCCCATTGCACAAGCAAGTGGACATCAGGACTCAGTAGCTGAGTGGATAACGCGATGACGTTGAAAGCGAATGGTACTGGGCTCGAGTTCCAGCGTGAACATCAACTCTGAGAAGCAGGTACATTTAGTTGACGAGTCACAAATAGGATAAAACGCGCGTCCTGGATTGCACTGCCAGGCACTATCCATCATTGCTTACAAAAAGCTTGTGAATTAAGGCAATATCGAGGCGATCCGCCCAGGATGCACATATACCAATAACAGAATGATCAATTGCAGTCTTAAACCTCAATGGGAAGATACAAGCCAAAGAATACGTACTGAATTAATTTAAAGTGATTACATATGTAATCAAACATTATTACGTGCCAAATAATTGTCTGTGGTAGGCTAAAATAATACATTTCCAAATGAAGTCTTAGAAATTAAATTCCATGAATCCATCTTTTTATCATTCACTGTTTATTTTGTTGGGTAAATTCATTTTACATCTGACGTAATTCGTATAATTTGTTTATATTTCAATGTTACATGTTATTGTAAGCTCGAAAAATAGAATTAGATAATGTTTATCAATCACAATGATCATATTCATTTAAATAAACACATAAACATGGTGAATACATCAGTTAACCATAATAATAATAATAATAATAATAATAATAATAATATTAACAGTAATAATAATCGATTTTCGTTGATTTAATTTTACTGAAATCAAAGTCACTAGAAGTTAGACAATCATTGAAAACCTAAAAGCACTGTATAGCTGTTTTGTTCCAGTATGGGACTTCTTAGATGTAGGTATCTATGGCTTCATCACCTTGGATTGAATACAGAACCTTCGGTCTTGTATGCAGATGTTTAACCTCTAGATGACCGAGTCATGGCTCAATTGAATACAAATCCAACATCAACCAATCCATGTTATTATGCGACTGTTTTCCACTGTCTTCGGTGAGTATCTTCTCTACACTAGACACGTTGGAGTTTTTATTTAGTTTCATAACAGAATGAAATGGTAGTCTAGTGCTTTTAATTTTCAATGGTGTTTTCCATAGATATTAGTGAATGGATTTAGCATCCATTATCGTTTTTTTGAGGTTATACACGATCAGGCAGAGTTATAGATGCTTTTCAGTATAATACAAGTAAATCATGTTTCTCGGATAAAAATAAAATCAATCATCTTACTAGGAACTAATACCAGTTTGTTTTAGATAACATCGAATATATTTTACGCCTATTTCTGTAAAACAGTTAACAATAAACCTATGCATTACAGAAGAATAATTCTTTAGAAATTCGTTACTTGATTGATCTACATTCACTGTAAATCATTAGATGTTTAAACATAATAAAATTTCTAAATTAAAAAGTGAAATTGAATGAGTGACAACTTCAAGTTTTTTTCCGAAGAGAGATAATGTTAGTCATAAGGATACACAACATGTTCAACAGCTGATATCATAACTTACGAACTCTTCGTCATTCAATAAACTTGATTACGATAGCTTGTAATATTTGTTTTTGTTATTTTGAAATCTACTTATATAAAATCTTATATGAAATGTTATTAATACCAAAAGTTTTAAACTGTGTACATAATAGAGATTATGAACGAATCAATGTTAGACCACTATTAAAAACCTCGAAGTACCGGGCGGCAGTTTTGCCCTAGTATAGGATTCCTAGTCAGTGATCATCCACGATCCTGCATTCAGGATTCGAAGCCAGGACCTTCTCTTTCGCGTGAAAACGCCTAACCTCTACACCACTGAGCCGAGATCTAACTTTTTTATTGTATAACCTCAACTAATCCACTAGTAATTGACTTTAAGAGGTAATTATCGGAGTTATAGTGAGGAGCCGTGACAAGTGGAGCTCAGTCGTGTCAGGTGTGAGACGGTTACTATCCAAAGACAATCGAAGATGGCCGTGCATTATCGTAGATTGGTTGAAGTTAGGTGTTTACTCACGAGACCGAATGTCCTGGGTTCAAATCCTGCGTGTGGAAACGTGGATACGCACTGTCGAAGGGTCCCATACTATGGCAAAATGACTGTCCAGTGCTTCTAGGTTTTTAATGGTAATCTAACATTGATCGATTTATGATCTCGATTAAAACTCATCAATCTCTATAACCCTATACTGATGTGTATATAACAGTTTAATAAAGTTTACTACTTAGAAATGTTAAATTGCAAATTGATTCATACAAAATTAAACTTCAATCTTCTGAAGTTTACTGAAAGCATAGATATCAAGCAATAGTGATACATTTTTCTTTCCCATGGAAAATTATATTCACATTGTTATATCATTCTTTTTATCCCCAACTCTTTCGTATAGTTTAATTTCATCATTTTCGAAGTTTCTTTTGAAAAACTTGTTTATTTCTAATTGGTTAACATTACCTTTTGTTATTCTTTACTAACATTAACTTATATTCAGTTACTTCGTTACGTCATCAACTCTAATGATTAGTTACTAGGTTGATGCTCTAAAACTTTCTCTCTGATACTGTATTTATCTGAAGTAATATTTTTTTAAAATTTCATTAATATTATCGATGTCTTTACTCCTTTATAAAAATGTACATTCCCTTATAATTACTATCGGTCTCATAAAAATATGTGAATTTCTATGTGAATTCTGGTTTTAAAATATTATATAGATTAATAGTAGTCGATGATAATCTAACGAAATAAGATGAATTCATGTAAGGCGGCCTGCTTGAGCATCTGGGCTACCTGTTCCTGCCATCTAGATATTTCAACAAGTTATCTATTTTTGTTTGTTTTAATATATCATTATGTCTATTAATCGCATAACCTATCCTGGTGCATTTCTGAAAATTGTACAACCTTTCGTTGTCAAAGTTACAAAAAGACCAATAAGAGATAATGTGGTCTCTGGCAATATGCAGGGAAAAGAATATACATTATTCAGATGTTCATTTACTGCACTGCTAACATCTGACTGGCGATCACTCAATATTTATCGTCAGAATCGACCAAGAAGTAAGAAACGGAAACTTGTTGAAATACTTTGTGCTGAGAATTCTATATTTTACCAAAAATATAATATTGAATAAAGCTTATAATAATAATAATAATTCTACTCAAATTTTTATGTACGTGGTAAAGAGGAAGGCCGAAGAACACCCTACATCGGGAAATGGAAGCACATATGAAAAGGATGAATAGAAACTGGAAACAACAGGAAAGGATTACTCAGGACAGGGTTGGATGAACAGTACTAGTGGGTGGCCTATGCTCCCAAATGAGGGATAAGTAAGTACTTCAAGATAAACTTATTTTAACCAATCAATAAACGATAGTCTTGGTGTTATCATTGTTTTTTTTTAAAAAAAGAAACGGATGATCTATTCTCAGAGTGAGAATTAAAATTCCCTAGAAAAATATTAATGATTGTATATTCAACGGATATATTTTGAAATACGTTCATATTTACTTCTAATCGGTCAATTAACTAAAAATATTTTTTTAGAAAAATGATCAAGTACCCTCCTGATCTCTTATAAAAAAAGGAAGGTATAAAAGGTCAGATAAGGTGAAATGAATTTACTGTACAAGATATAGATAACCCATTATGTCTGTTGACTGGAAGTATTGTTGGCTAATAATAATAATAATAATAATAATAATAATAATTAATAATAATAATAATAATAATACTTATTATTATAGAACAGACATTGTAAACATGAACAAGTCAATTTATACAAACTAAATTTACCGAAAATTAAATCCTGAAGCTATTTTAGCATTTGCATCATCTAATCGTCGAAATGAATAAGTTGGATTACAATATTGAACATCCCAATCAAGATCACATTTCCAATCGATATCAATCCCGATTACACCACCCTGTTATTAGAAAAATTGACAGTGGATATAATGAGTATTGTTGGTAATTTATGTAAAATAGATATATTATCATAGTTTACATGAAGTGTTAAAGAAAATATCATTCAGAACTAGAAAAAGATAAGTGTAGGCATAAAGAAACTTGGCAGCCTCATAGATGATAACTATAGAATAAAGAAACAATTGTTGTTCAGTTGGATTTTTTGTCAGTATTATTTGAGTGACCTATAAATATCCTTCTGTCTATGATAACTCTGAAGAGCAGTTCGCTTTGTTCAATAGATGCCTAGATCTGTTTGTTTTTAACGAAATGTTCTGTGAAGGACTTTAATCAATATTAGCAGAAATAGATGGTGGCTGGCAGTGGAATCCATGACGCGCGTCCTGGCAATATCGAGGCAATCTGCACAGGATATACATATGTTAATAAGAAACTGAGCACTTTCAGTCCTAAACATCAATGAGAAGATTCAAACAACCAATAAAAAATGAATTAAACTTCAATTAATGTTCATTCGAACCAACGTAATCACGGACAGCTTTGATTTCTTTTCGTAATAACAGTAGATTTGCTGTACGATGCAATTATTCAAACAATCATCTGTTACTGATACAATGCTCTAAGATTAGGCCTAACACTCAGGTCTGTATTGAGTAAAGAATGAATGACCTACAAATCTGGTTAGTGATTATATCTCTAAGTAATAATCATTTGGAGGGGGGCGACCAAGTCAATGTTACGGTCTTATCAGTAGCCATCACTTAGTCACAGACCCTTATCATTATATTCATCTATCTATTAAACAAAAATTTTGTTTAAATCAAATAACAGATAACGCATTTCTATAACAATTATATTGCCTACATAAATGACTCGATAAAATGCTACATTAGTAAATACTTTTCTTTCTATTCGTTACCAATTAAAATTTGTAAATACAATTTCACAAGTGAAATTAATAAAAAAAGGTCATAATGATTAATAAATTGAAAATTGGTATCAAATTAATTCCATTTCTTTCATAAATCATTATTTAATCAAATTTACATCTATCAAAAAAAGGGAAAACTTCAATAAATATTTACAATCTCAAAACAGACCCGACTGAACTACACAGGTCACTACTTCTCACTAGAACTCCAGGAAATGCCTATTGGAGACTGTCACTAGTGAGCATATGTTGATTTATATCAAGAGGAATATTGTGGATATTATAGTAATTTTAATAGTTGAATTCATGAGTCAATTGAAGCTAGACCCAACACCTTCGGTCTCGCGTGCGAACAATTGACCCTTAGACCAATCCAATGGTGTTAATATATAACTTCAATCAATCCATTTTATTGCACAACCGTCCATCATTGTTTTCAGCGAGTAACTGCCTCACAACAAACACAGTTAAACTGTATTAGTCACAGCTTCTCATTAGAACTTCAGGAAATCTATTTTGAAACCGGTCACTAGTGATTTGGTTTAAATCCAGTGCGTGGAGGAGTCCCATACTGAAACGAAACGGTCGTTTACTGCTTTCAGATTTTTAACGATGATGTAGCTTAAATCGACTCATGAATTAAAACTATTAAAAAACTACTATAATCTTGAAAAAAACCACCATTTTGATAAATTTTTTCTCCTCACAAATCATTAAGGTAGACTAGTGAATTATTTATTCTTTGTTTTGATCTAACGATCAAAAAAGACATTATACTTTGTTTGTGGTTAATATTTGAAAATTTTCAGTGGAGTAATATAGTATACCTTTATTTTTTGATCACATATAGAAGAGATTGATCTCATGGGATTGTTTAAATCAATGTTTAAACGAATAACTGTCATGGTGTAAAGAAAATCATTGTTTCAAGTGTTTCTAACTAATTTTGTGTGGGTACAATGGAACATTTAAATTTCGCTTATTTTTAGTAGACTTTATATTTTACGAATAACTGATTTATAGTTGAATACATGAGTCAATTGAAGCTAGATCACCATGGAAAACCTGGAAGCACTGGGTGGCCATCTGTCCTATTGTGCGACTTCTCAGTAGTGCACATCTACCATACCGCCTCCCAGGATTCAAACCAAGGACTTATTGGTTTCGTGCACGAACTCTTAACCACTAGACCAACAACGGTATTAATGTATAATTACTTTCCATCCACTAAATTGAGCCACTGTCCACCATTGTCTTCAGTGAGTTACTATCTTACAACAGTTGAATTATGAATTCAACTATAAAACTACTAAAATCTCCACAAAACCCCTTTCTGATAATAATTCATTTACTCAGACAGGAAGTAACAATCAGATTTGATAATACGTTAGAAATAATAATAATAATTACCATTATTATTATACAGACTAATCGGAATTGTATTTTGTCAGATGAAAGTTTTATACTAAGACTAAATACTGAAAAGAATGATTTCAAATGAATAATCCTATCAATGTACGATACTTCTTTGACTATATATATATTATTACTGATTAGATTATGGAGCATTAATTATAGAGTAATAATTTCGTGTTTACATATGATTGGACTATTCGATATTATAGAAAGTAATTATAGTTAAATGCTGACTTCCTGTTGGTAAATATTTAATTTTAATTCATATTAGTAGTATTGTAATAAGTAGTATAATCGGTAGGTTATATATATTTATATGTTTATATTATTAAATCTAATTATTTTATTGAACGTTCAATTTTTTGTAGAACAATTGGTTTAATTATAAATATAATATTTCCTAATTTAATGAATTTTTTTATTGGCGGTTTATTATTGTTTGATGGTTTAATGTGCTCATTTTCAACGCTATTAATATTTCTGATTGAAATCATGAGTCAATTGGAGCTAGACCACCATGGAAATCCTGGAAGCACTGGACGGCCTTTTAGTTCTAGTATGGACTCCTCACGCACCCCGTGAGGTTCGAACCCAGAACCTATCAGTCTTGCGCCAGGCGCTTAACCAACTAGACCACTGAGCCGGCATTCAATGGTGTTAATGTCTAACCTCAACCAATCCATGAAATTGCGCGACCATCTTCCATTGTACTGAGGTAGATATCTGTTTCTACCTGACACGAATTAACTATTAATATTCCTTAGCGGATTCATAATAATGAAAGCTAATTGGACTAAATAAATTTATTCTTTGAAAAGTATAACTCCACTTATGCTTCTTCTACAGTTAATGTTGGTTTCAAGCTTGGGTAAAGGAGAAGGATCAGGCATAGGAGTCGATAACCCCATCCCATAGAAACAAATCTTGCTAAACGAAAAAAAACGTCAACCAGATGAAACAAGTTAAACCATTTAAACTCTGTCCTGGGAGTTGAAAGAAGATAGTAGTTTGAAAAGTATATTAGAAAAAAAAGATGGAAAGATTAACTTTTTTTGTTACAAAAAATATCATTTTATAAAGTTGTCACAATGAATACCTACATATTAACATTGCACCTATGATGCAGTGATGACTTTTGAAGTCAGGTATGAAGGTAATAATAAATAGATCACTTGAATTTTGAAACATAACGTTGTTCAGTTTCGAACAACAAAAAAACGATAATTTAAAGTCGGCAATTTCAATATGTATATATCAACTCGAGGTGGTAACTTATTCATAGAAGAATCGGTGGAAAGAAAGTATATAGTTACTAGCAGATTATATTAAATTATAGTCATATTATATCATAATTTTAAACATACGAATCAGTAGTATGATATTGTGGTCAATTCAAAACTTCAATCTTATACAAAGATCTATATGTAGACATTTGAATAAAACAATCTTTGAATGAGTACAAAATAAACGTTTAATACTAAGCGATATTCACTGATTTCCTAATTGGCGATAGTCTATTTATGTATATACATATGTAGTTCATATCATCAGCCAGTGAAGACACTATGAATAGTTAAAAAATGTTACTATATATTTACGTAATAGAGAAATGTCTAAAATAATTTTAAAATCTTTTCGAAATTATTGAAAATAAATAATGATAATTTTGTAATTTCTAAATTGATAATTTTTTTTACAAATATTCATTTCAGAAGGGGTTTTGTGGAGATTTTAGTAATTTTAATAAGTCAGTTGAAGCTAGATCACCATGGAAAACCTAGAAACACTGGACGGCCGTTTCGTCTTAGTATGGGACTCCTAAGCAATGTGCATCCAACATTCCGCTCCTTCGCGAGATTCGAATTCGGAACCTATCTATATCACCCGCGAGCGCTTAACCACTAGATCACTGAGCCGGTCAGCATTCAACAGTGTTAATGTTTAACTTCAATCAATCCACGAAATTGCGCCACCGTACACCATTGTCTTCAGTGAGCTAATATCTCACAACAGACCTGGTTGAACTTCACTGGTTACGGCTTCTCACTAGAACTCCAGGAAATGCCTCTTGGAGACTGTCGCAAGTGAGTATATGTTGATTATTATCAGAAGTTTTGTGGAGATTGTAGTAATTCCAATAGTTGAAATCATGAGTCAATTGAAGCTAGACCACCATTTATGTATATGTAGTTCATATCATCAGCCAGTAAAGTCTCTAAACACTATGAATAGTTAAAAATGTTACTTTATCTTACGTAATAGAGAAATGTCTAAAATAATTTTAAAATCTTTCCGAAAATATTTAAAATAAATAATCAAACAAATAATCATCTGATAAGTTTTCTTTTTTGTTTTACTTTTTCGCAAAATAAGTACAATCTAATTAAATTGAACAGAATAAAATAAAAACTAAAACGGATATTATGAATGGAACAACGTTAGATAACGTAAAAAACCTGGAAGTACTGGAGAGCTATTTCGTCATAGTATGAAACTCCTTTGAAGTGTGCTTTCATGATGTCGTACATGGGATTCGAACCCATGACTTAGTCTCATGCACTAAATCCTAACCTTCGAGATGGTATTCGCTATGGTTTGGTTGAAGTTGGTCGTTAACACCGTTGAATGCCGGTCTAGAGGTTAGGCGTTCGC